TGATTAATCCAGAGTCATTTAATCATAGCCATGAACAAAGGCATAAAGTATGCAAGTAACTTTGGAACAAATAACTCTAAAATATTTACACAGCTACAAACCATACACTTTTGTTGTGCAGTTAACAACACCTAAATCATTTGAGTTTATGTTTGGTGGAATTAATTTGATATGGGTAATAACAAAATAAAAAAAGAGATTCAATTAATTCTACCAAGCATTAACTCATTTAAATTATGTCAGAAGTCATTGGATGAAAATTTCTATTAATTTCAAGTATTGCCAAATTTATATATGAAGCCCTGAATCTTTTGAATGTCTATGGCCAAATTGGCTTTTCCGTTATAATATGGAGCAAGGGACCAAGCTATTCTTTCAAACAAGTCATTACTCTGATGTTAAAATTTTTTGTCCAGAATGGTGATAAATCTTTCTCCCCTTTCTGATTTACCAGGAATTCATTGTCAATTCTGTAAATAAGGGCAGTGAACCATCAAAGGTCAACCATGCTTAGACGTGTCAAAAGTTAATGATTATGGGTCTACATTGCAAATTACCCAACTCTGTTCTCACATAGAAAATTAGTTCACTCTTGAGGTCATTTCCATTGGCTGAAGAGAGTTGAAGCATTGAGGAAGGATTAGGCAAAGTTACAGCTAGTAAACCCATGGATGGTTATATTTATTTATTTGTCTAAATCTTCATTTCACTGTTATCTACTCTGTCATTACTAAGGTATGTGACTAAAGCTCTGCACCAATATCACCAGGCTTGCTGACTGTTCACAGTGGAATTGGCAGAAGCTCATTTTGTACCCAAACTCTGTTTTCAGAAAAGGTCAGGTCTTCCATGAGTATCCACAAAGCATGGATAATCAAGTTGAAATAATACTAAGCACCTCCCTTTTTATTAAGACTGGAAAAGTAAGTATAGTATGAGGACTATGTTACCAAGAGCCAGGTAAAGCATTAGACACAGACCCTCCTAACATTGTTAGGGGTCCCGAAAATTGACCAATATACATAGCTACCACTTCTATGTAGAGAGCTTAGGTCAGTCCCTTGTAGATTCTTTGGTTATTGATTCAGACTCTGTGAGTTTTTATGTGCCAGGTCAGTTGTTTTTGTAGGTTTCCTTGTTTTGTCCATGACCCCTCTGGCTCCCAAAATCCTTCCTCCCTCTCTTCAACAGGATCCTCTGAGCTCTGACTAGTGTTTGACTGTGGGTCCTGTATCTGTTTCCATCAGTAACCAAATGAAGGCTCTTGAATGACAACTGTGGTAGTCACCAATCTGAAGACAAGAGACAGCCAGATCAGGCTATGTATTCAGTATTGCTAGGAGCCTTAGTTGGGTCATCCTTTTACATTAGTGGGAGTTTCCCTTGCATCAGGTTTCTGCATAACCCAAAAAAGTCTCCCTTTCCAGGACTTTCCTTCTCCACTCATCCCCAACCAGATCCCTACTGTTCCCATCTTATACCACCCCCTGTATAGCAAGGAGATATTTTCTATTTTCCCTTCCTTGGAGATCAATGAGTGCCCATTTGGGTCCTCCTTGTTACCTAGACTCTCTGGGTCTGTGGATTGTAGCATAGTTATCCTTTACTTTACAAATAATATATGCTATAAATAGGTATACAGCATTTTTTTTTCTTTTTGTGTCTGGTGTACCTCACTCAATATGATTTTTCTTGAAGTTCCATCAGTTTGCCATAAAATTTTCTGATGTTCCTCAAATGAAAAATACATAAAGACAAAACGGTACAGTTACACAAACGAATATTTCTCATCACTTGTTAACTTTTGGTCATTATATTTTTATCAAATAGAAAACAGTGAGTGTATGTAATACTTTGGCATCTTTAAAATTCCTTAGTGATTAATGATGCTTGTTCCCAAGTTGAGGAACTGAGTTCTTTCTTTGGATCCACATGGTAGAAGGAGCAAAGCCACTTCTCTAAGTTCCACAGGTATATGTACACCCAGAGTCCCAGACACATAGACACACACACACACACACACACACACACACACACACACACACACAGTGCAGTAAATAAAGTATAAAAGCAAGAACTCTGTTATAGTTAATTATTATGTACATAAATTTAATGATTACAGTAAACCCATTTCTATGCTTCTATGTCATGTAGGGATTGGAAACAACAAAATTATAAAGGGATTAATTAAACATTACTATGTGCTAGGTAATTTGTGTATCATTTGCACATTTAATTCTCATAATAGCTTATAATAAAGTTAATGTAATCACATTCCTTTTTCAGATGAGCATAAAAGTGAAATCAATTAAAGAAATTATCCAGGTTAGCAGAGAGCTCATAGAAATGGATTGGACAACATCAATATTACTAGCAGTGGTCCTGACCTTCTTCGTTGATTTTGGGGGACTCTCTTTCTTGCAAATTAGGGTGAATTTGTCCTATATTTGTGTCTTCAGCTTTAGCATTCAGTGCAACATTGATCATGTCAGTGTTTCTCAACCTTTCTAATGCTGTGATCCTTTAATTCACTTTCTCATGTTGTAATGACCCCCAACCATTGTTATAACTTTTTAACTGAAATTATGCTACTACTATGAATTCTAATGTAAACATCTGTGTTTTACTTGACCCTCAAAGAGATCAATACCTATATGTTGAGAAACACTAAATTATTATTAATACTAATTTTTATTAAAGAAATCATGAGCAAATTTATTTGTATGAATTAATATAGCACTATTTTTCAATATAGATAATCATTGTTTTAGTGTCTTTATGTGTGTTTTTAATATGTATGTGTGAATCTGTTCATGAGTATGAGGAGAGAAAATATCCTTAGTGTCATCCTTGCTTCCTACTTTCTTTGAAACATAGTCTCCTCTTGTTTCCTGATACATATACAGGGCTAGTAGGCCCTTGTGCTTCCAGAAAGTTTACAACCTGTACCTCCCATTTCCCAGAAAGCAATTCCTAGGCAAAGTTGAAATTAAGATGTGTGTGCCACTGTGTCTGGTTCTCATGTGTGTTTCAGAATCTCAACCTAGGTCATCAAGATTACAAAGAGAGTCTTATCATCTCTCTGGTAATCTATTTTTTTTTATTATGAACCACAAGTTAGATATATGATGCCTACTAGGTTCATTTAAATATTTTATTTAAAAATTTCATAATACAGTCATATTAAGTATATGTATTAATTTTATTATACAAAATAGTTACAAATGATTCTAATTTTATGAGTTATAAATAAGCAAAGTATTAACTAGAAAAGGTTGATATACTTATGCTTTATATTTAAATTGTAAATTATTTAAAATGTTTAAGCAAGTAGTAGACAATAGTAAAATTTTTGTTATTAATTAATTAAGTTGTAATGAGAATTAGCTATCCAATAACTCTGAACAATATTGCTTGATTTGCAGGCAATGAAAAGTTAAAATGATTAGAAATATTCAATTGTAGGTATTACTAATAAAAAAACTGCTTTGTAAAATTCTTCAGCTACCTTAAACCATGGGAATAATTACAGGTTCTAACCTATACTTACCTGATTGAAAAGTTCTGTCTTTTTAAATTAAAGACATATAGAATACTTTCATGGTGAATGTGTGGTATTTGGGCAGTCTTTTCTATCAGGAAATCTATGCATCTCTTTCCTAAGGTCTCTTCTGCATGCAGATACACAATAACCAAACTCATCAAATGTGATCAGAGAATTGCAAATTTTCAGTTAAAAATAACTGCACCATATCTGTGGATGAATTGAGAATTATTATCTAAACACTCCTCAGTCTTTAAAAAAAAATGTGTTGTAAGATTCAGAGTTCAAAGCAAAACAAGTATTGTATAAATTCAGCATTAAATTTTGTGCATACTGTAATAAAACCTGTTTCCTGTTTCTAGTTCTCCAATTGTGTTGGCCTTAAAAACTGTTTATCATACCAATAATGGACTAATTTTCCTATCTTACAGGCACTCTCTTGCTGCCTTTCCTACAACCTGATGAATTATTATTAAAATGTAGAAAATTAAATGCGTACTTAATTTTAAAGATTAGCACATGATTAAACAAATTACCACCGTTTTTCAAAATATTCTCTTGTGCTTTGTGTATACAAAACACCCCCACCATCAATACACATACATGGTGGCAGTTTCTAATATAAGATGAGTAGGAGGTTGATTCACAAGCAGAGTAGTTCAGTGTCTGACATTTTGCTAAGTGTCATATCTTGACATTGCTTTTGTTAAAAAAATAAACTTAAAATAAATAAACTTTCAAAATAATTATTAAAATAATATGAATTTGAAAATTATATGATGTGTGCTCTTATTTTATAATTTGATAGGTTTATGTAATTTTCTACATAATCCTTCAAACTTATTCTAATCCTCACAGGAAACCAGGATGCCCATAACACACACACACATACACACACACACACACACACACAAAAAAAAAAAATGCGGGAGCCATAAAGAGAAAGAGAGCACCTGAACCATGCACCCAATTTTCTCTGAATTCTAGAAAACCACACCCTAACTTGGTTTCACCTCTTAAAGATAATTGATAAACAAAACTTTCTCATCACCTCCCTGTTTTATATAAACAAGAGTGAACCAAAACTAAAACAAAACTATATATACTAGAAACACATATCAAATATAAAATTACAAACAACATAAGAATAGAATCTCTAAATATCCAAAGAACCTAATTAATCTGACTATATGTATAACAAAGATAAACAACTATTGACATATAATATTTAATAGCAGTGTAACTTAAAGACTAATACTTCATATCAGAATATTAAATAATCTGTAAACAAAAGTGTAGCAAACGAGGCCAAAGACCTCAAAATGTAAACAGTGTGTAAGTATCTTGATTAGAGGTTAGATTAAAATATTATGTAACATAAAAATATATCCTTAAAGTTGTAGCAATATAAAAAAAATCCTAAAAGGTGGTAGAAAAATGCATGTATACGAGCCCGCTCCGCGATGGGAGCCGCGGCGGTTGCGGCGCACGGCCCGCGCTCCTCCCTCGCCTCCTCCTCTTTCTCCTCCTCCTCAGGGCTCCAGTCAGGCCGAGCCGCTTCGCTCACGGCCTTTAGGTGCTGAGTCTGTGAATGAGTAGAAGAAAAGTTTGTGTTCTCAGACACTGACTACAAGGATGATCATCTTGTCCGTCTTCTATACCTACTGAGAAGAGAAGCAATGTGACAACTTACAGAACGTCAGATCTGCAACTTGATGGGTGACAGTTCCTCTCGACAGAAAGATAATTTAAAAATGGCAGAACTCTTTATGGAATGTGAAGAAGAGGAGCTAGAGCCATGGCAGAAGAAAGTGAAAGAAGTTGAAGAGGATGATGATGATGATGATGATGATGATGATGATGAGCCCATCTTTGTTGCAGAGATAGCAAGTTCAAAACCAGCAATTTCAAATATTTTAAACAGAGTTAACCCCAGCTCACATTCACGAGGAATAAAGAATGGTGCACTTAACCGAGGTTTTACTACTTCATTCAAGCCTACAAGTCAACGCTTCCCAAATCCAGCATCAAATCCTGTGGCTGCCTTGCCAGTAAATTTTCATCCTGAATCTAGACCTTCAGATAGTTCTGTTATTGTTCAACCATTTTCTAAACCTGGTTATATAACAAACTCTCCACGAGTTGTGTCTAATAACTCTTCAGAGTTACTGTTTGACCTGACCCAGGCTACAGGATTATCACATTACCAAGCGGGACCATCACTTTCTATTGCAGGTTTGAATGAAACTTTATTTTCATCAAAACGCCCTTCTGGTTCTGACATAAGCAGTGTTAACCCAAAAAAGCCTAAACCCGGTGACAATATTTCTGGAGCAGATGCCTCTTCTATAGTCTCTTTAGAAAAGCCTCCATCAGTGATGTCTCTGCAGGTGACACCATCACAAGGTGCAAATTGCTCATCAAATCAATCTAAAAATGGAACAACTTTTCCAAGAGCATGTCCTAAGTGTAATATTCACTTCAATCTTTTGGATCCTCTGAAAAATCACATGACGTATTGTTGTCCAGACATGATAAATAACTTTTTGGGATTGACTAAAATAGAAATTGCAAATACAACAAATGACACTAAAGCTCTTGATTCAGAGAAAGGAAAATTGATCATGTTAGTTAATGACTTTTATTATGGAAAACATGAAGGAGATGTCCAAGAAGAACTGAAGACTCACACAACCTTTAAATGCTTCAGTTGTTTGAAAGTTCTCAAAAATAATATTAGGTTTATGAACCACATGAAACACCATTTGGAACTTGAGAAGCAGAGCAGTGAGAGCTGGGAGAAGCACACTACTTGCCAGCACTGCTACCGCCAGTTTCCCACGCCCTTCCAGCTGCAGTGCCACATCGAGAGCACACACACGCTTCATGAGTTTTCTACCATTTGTAAAATCTGTGAGCTATCGTTTGAAACTGAACAGATTCTTTTACAACATATGAAGGATAATCATAAACCTGGTGAAATGCCGTACATCTGCCAGGTTTGCAATTACAGATCATCATTATTTTCTGATGTAGAATCTCATTTTAGAACATCGCATGAAAACACTAAGAATTTGCTATGTCCGTTTTGCCTCAAAGTTATTAAAATTGCCACACCCTATATGCATCATTACATGAAACATCAGAAAAAGGGAATACATCGTTGTACCAAATGCAGATTGCAGTTTTTGACATGCAAGGAAAAAATGGATCACAAGACTCAACATCATCGAACATTTGTAAAGCCCAAGCAGCTAGAAGGACTGCCCCCTGGAACAAAAGTTACTATTCGAGCTTCAGTTGGACCTCTTCAACCAGGATCTTCAGCTATACCTTCCATCAGTGCAAGCTCTTCTACCCTCCAGCTCTCACCTCCAAGGACTGAAAATACAACTGCTAAAAATCCCACTAAATTGAATACAAGTACACCGAATACAACTGTATCTAATCCCAATCAACCTAATGAAACCAAGTCTAATGGAAATAAATCTAAAATCAGGTCAAAAGTCTGTACTACACAGAAGAAACAAAGCACACTCGCTAATAGTAATAAGAAAAGTAAGGTGAATACAGCATTGAGGAACTTAAGGTTACGTCGAGGTGTTCACGAGTGTATTGAGTGTTGTTCTGAAATAAAAGATTTTGCAAACCATTTTCCTACATATGTCCACTGTAGTTTTTGCAGATACAACACTAGCTGTAGCAAAGCCTATGTAAATCATATGATGAGCTTTCATAGTAACCGTCCAAGTAAAAGGTTTTGTATATTTAAGAAGCATTCGGAAAATCTCAGGGGCATTTCTCTAGTGTGCCTTAATTGTGATTTCCTAACTGATGTTTCTGGCTTAGATAATATGGCCACACACTTAAGTCAACATGAAACTCATACTTGTCAAGTCTTAATAGAGAAAGTTTCTGTTTGTATCCCAACTTCTGAACGTCTTTCTGAATTAAAAACTGAAGCTCCCACTAAGGGACAAGAATCTGTGTCTAAGGAAACAGCAAGACATAATACAGCTGAAGGAGAAACAGGAGCATCACATTCTGAAGGTAAGCAGGATAAAGCTCCTTCATCAGAAGAAGACGGTGGGTGTGATGCAAGTGTATGTGAAGCTGCAGCAGTAGTAGACTGTGCAGGAAACGAAACAGTTTCAGATACAGAACAGGAAAGCAGTTCAAAGAATATCTTCAGTCACGATTCAGATGCTGGAACAGATAATACGGAAAAGGAAGAACAGACACAGCACACCTGTGAGGAAATGGAACTGAAGGCACACCAGAGTTCAGAAAACACAGATTCGTGTGAACAGAGTGAAGAGCATGACTCCCCTGCAGCTGAGTTTTCTTCAGAGTCTGCGCAGGATTCGCAGTTAATGTCAGGGGGTGTTGGCATTGATCAGTTTCTACGGCAAAGAGACGAATCTGAAACTGTGAGTTCTGATGCTAGTGAGCAAGGCAGTGTTCGTTTGGAACCTTTAACGCCATCAGAGGTACTTGAGTATGAAGCTACGGAGATTCTTCATAAGGGGGATGGTTCTTCGGCCAGTATCAATGATGCGATGTCTGATCAAACAGGTGGCAGTCCTGGAGGAAGTAGAGCAGAGACAGCAGTAGACCTGGCAGATAGAAAGAAAGAAGCTGAAGCAATGTAGTCATTCCAAGTTTAGTTCCCAGCAGAAAGCACTTAGAGCAGTGCTGTCCGGTGAGCACGGAAGTGCCGTGGCAGAGGTCAGCAGTGAGAGATCTGAGGGAGGTCCTTCATACACTTCACCTGTATGTTCTATCTTGTTAAGTCAGTTTGCCAGTAATAGCATGGTTAGTATGAATTTCCAACTTTTTAAAAACCTGAGCAGAACTTTAGTGAAAACTAAGTTTGCCATCCAAAGGTCTTTTAGCACTTTTTAAGAAATCTTGTTCACCAGTATGAAATTATTATAAGAATATTAGCTATGTTAATCAGACTTTTCAAACTTTCATTAGTCCTGAACTTAAAATTCTTATCACATGTATATTCCTTTTTAATAAACAAACTTAAAGGAAGAGATTTGAAACCATGCATTTTTTGGAAATACCTTTAAACTACCTATCAATTGTTACTGTTAATGAAGGCTTTATTTTTTAATATGATCCTGGTAATGAAGCATGCCTAGAGTGCTAAATTGACCTGTTAAGAATTTGGATGAATATAAACTTAAGTTTGGATTTAATATAACATTCCAGTCTGTCAGAAGCATGCAAACAGAATTTTAGAAACTGTGCACCTCCATTCAAGTATTAGCCTGCCAGGCTGTCAGCTGACCTTTATAAAACTTTCAGTGAAAGTGAAATTATAAAAATAAAGTTTATATTTGTGCTTTTAGTCAGTGTATAAGCTCTGCAGAACCCCATCTTGCCCCCATGGGCTAGTTGTATAAAGTAGAAATCTGTTATTGAAACTCTTGTAGCTACTATGCTTTTAATATTGTTTCAATGATTTTTGGCAGTAGACCCATAAAAATGGCCTGGAAGCCAAACCAAAGTGTGGTATAGTGTAGGAGAAAGCATTGAACTGAAAACATACCTTGGCATGCACTCCTTAATTTTAAAAGTAGAAATTCAAATGCGATCCTAAAGCAGATTTTTAAAAAAAAAAAAAAATTGGATGCGGAAATTAGTCTGATTTATCTCTTAAGTCAGCTACTAAATTGATTTTTAAGATATAGAAATGAATATAACAAACAATAATTTGCTTTGACGTACTAATAAATTTTTATTTTAAATGCTGCATTTTTACTTCTTAAAATGTGCTTTGAATTCTTAAACTGTTTCACTGAATGTTTAATGTTTTCAACGCCTGTTAGAATTCTGTTGTATATAGTAGTTTTTTGAATAAGTATTTACAATAAAAACCTGTCTTTGGATAAAAAAAAAAAAAAATGCATGTATACATTCTGACAGAATAACTTTGCATAGGAGTACAAATATTGTAAACAGAAAATACAAATAAATAATTTGAACTTGTGTCAATATACAAAACTACACCAATGTAAATTATTCATAAATAATAGGTCACAAGTATTCACTCTATTACCCACTATTTTCCTTATTTTTAAATCTCTGAAGGTACATAGTTTCCACCCAAACTATCTACCTGATACAAATAATAATCAACAACCTCTAAACAGTGTTCCAAACCCTGAGGACAAACAATTTTGGGAGAGGGGATGTAGTTCTTTAGAATTGCATCCTTACTATCATGAGGGTGGTGTTATCTTTATGGGATCCTGCAAAAGTAAAGTGATGGTGGAATGTCAAGATTACTGTTAAGCATAGTTGCAAATGATTTCTAAGCAATTGACATGTTTTTTTCCAAAATTCTTTTGGGGAGTTCTGGCCAGAATGTCATGAGAATTTCAACATTTCAGCAGCTAATACCCCGCTCAAATAACAGTCTTATAATAGTGCTATCAGCCTCATGATGTCATCTAAATCAGGTGGAGTTATTGCTGTGGGTCCCCATCTTCCTGGAAACTTCAAAGATTACTACAGGAAAGGGATCTTTAGAAAACTCTATTGTTCATTGTGCAAAACTTAAACATTATTCATATAGACATACATTCAATGAAGAATACAAAATAGACAAAATAGGCATAGAGAAAGTAAAATTTTTCCTAAACTTTTCTATCTGACCCATAGCAGATGGCTCCTGACATGAGACAGAAACTCTGAACATTCCTTTTAACAACATGCTTGGATTTAGAGAAGAACAGAGCCATTGTCCAAGTCCAAATCCAATGTTCTCTCTCTCTTTCTCTCTCCCCCACTCTCTCTCTCTCTCTCTCTCTCTCTCTCTATATATATATATATATATATATATATGTATGTATATATACATATATATATATACATGTGTGTGTATGTGTGTGTGTGTAGATAGATATAGATATAGATACAGACATAGATATAGATATAGATCACCTGTTCTCATAAGTCATATTCCTTTTTCTCGATGATCCTTATTGGAGAGTTATTTTTCCTTCTTTCAGAATCCAAATATCCAGGATATCTTATATTTTTGAAAATGTATGTTTTCCTGTAAAACTGAGCAGAACCCCACCCCAACCCTATATGGTTTCCTTACCACTGGGATGTTTGTCACTGTTGTGGATAATCTATTATTTCTCTTTCTCAAGAGGATTCTCTTTTTCAAAGCGAATCTTTATTAATTTTGATGATATCAATAGTTTTTCTTCCCTGTGCAAACAATAGCAAAACCCCTTTCCAAATGTAGCACATCTCCTGGTTTTAATTGTGATGTCAGCACATCCCTGAAATACACTGGTTGATTCAATTCAGAGGGTTTTTTTCCAATTATGCAATATCTCTCTTCTTCCATTGTTCCTTTCTTATTAGTGATAAGAAAACTCAAGGATAATAAAGCATTAAAGAATATATTTCTGGGCATATTTTTCATTCCTTTTTGTTTGTTTAGCACATCCTTTATAGTTTTGTTTGAACTTTTTATAATTACCTGACCTGTAGTATTTTTTGGTATTCCTCTAATATGCTTTATATTATAATAAGCAAAAACACATTTTATTTTCTTAGATACATATGATGGACCATTGTCTGTCTTTATTTGTGCAGGAGTACCCATGATGGCCACAGCTTCTAATAAATGCATGATTACTGAGTCAGGTTTTTCCAAGCTCAAGACAGTTGCTCATTGAAAACCTGAATACATTTCTATGGTGTGAAGCACATATTTTAATTTTCAAATTCAATAAAATGAAACACACCCATCTACCAAATTCTATATCTTTGAGTACCCTTTGGTTTAATCCTTGCAGCTAATGGTGTTTGGTTATAAGAAGAGCAAGTGGGATATTTCTTTATAATCTCTTTAGCTTGCTCTCATGTAATAAGAAAGTCTTTCTTTAAACCTTTGTTATTGACATGATGTTTTTATGAAATTCTGAGGCCTGCAACACAGTTTTAGTCAATAATTGATGAATTTCTACATTGCCTTGTGCTAGAGGACCTGGCAGACCCATATGGTATTGTTGGTTTGTTATGTATATAGAACAAAACCTATTCTTGATTATGTCTTGCACCTGAATGAATAATGAAGTCAATTTTGTATAATATGGTAAAAATTCAGCAGTTTCAAAATGCAACACAACTCTGGGCATATTGTGAATCAGTAACTATGTTGGAAGTTTCATTACAATGCCTTAGACACAAATAGGATATAATTCTGCATTCTGGATATTATTATAAGGACTTTGTTCTGTCTTACTTAGTTCTTCTGATTTCTAACCTGCCATTCCTGATTTATTTGCATCAGAATAAAATGTGCGGACTCTAGTTATTGGTGCATCATGTATAATTTGGGGAAGAAACCAAGAAGTTATCTTTATAAGGTTAAGTCTATCACTTTTGAGATAATTGTTATCAATTTGCCCCCCAAATCAGCACAAGCTCTTTACCATGGTTCATTGTATTCCCATAACACTTTTATTTCTTCACTACTAAAAGGCACTATAATCTCTGCTAGGTCTATACCTGCTAATTGACAAAGTCTCAATTTACTTTTTATAATTAATTCAGAGATTTTTCTCACATAAGTTTTTAATTCTTTTACTTGGTTTTGTGGTGAAAAGATCCATTCTAAGATAAGATCATCCCTTTGCATTAAAATTTCTGTGGGAGAAATTCTGGAAGGAAATATTACTAGAATGCAATTCAGATTTGAATTCACCCTATCCACATGTACTTCCTGTAATTTCTCTTCAACAACTCTCAATTTCTTCTATGCTTCAGCTGTTAATTCTCTGGACTATTCAAGGCTTTACACCATCTAAGATTTTGTTTAAATGAATTATTACATCATGCCTTATCCCAACAGCTGGTTGCAGACTTGAAATGTCTCCTATTAATCTTTGAAAATCATTAAGAGTCCATAATTAGTCTCTCCTAATTTGTGCCTTTTGTGTTCTAATTTTCTATAACCCTATTCTGTAACATAGATAATTAACAGAATCTCCTTCTTGATTCTTTACAGGAGCAATTTGCAATCCCTATTTTGACAAAACTTTCTTAACTTATTCAAACATTCTTTCTAAAGTAGCTGCATTTGAATCAGGTGACAAAATGTCATCCATGTAATGGTAGATTATATATTTAGGATATTGATTATATAATATTTCCAATGAATGACTGAAAAAGTTTTGTCACAGGGTAAGGCTATTGAGCATTCCCTGTGAGTGGATGGTCCATTGATATCTCCTGGTAGGCTGAGAATGATTAAAAGTAGGCAATGTGAAGTCAATTTTTTTTCTTTATCTTTTTCTTGTAAAGTTATAGTGAAGAAAGAATACTTTAAATCAATAACTATGAGAGGTCATTCCTTTGGTAATAGAGAAGGCAGAGTAATTCCATATTGTAGAGGTCCCATAGGTTGAATTATCTTGTTGATAGCTCTAAGATCTCTCACCATTCTCCATTTCCCAATTTCTTTTTAACAACAAGTACAGGAGAATTCCAAGGGTTGGTAGATTCTTCAATATTATGAGCATCTAGTTGCTCTTGAACCAGCTATTCTAAAGCATGCAGCTTTTCTTCTGTTTGAGGACACTGTTTAACCCATATTGGTTTCTCAATTCATCATTTTAAGGGCAGGACTGTTAATTCCTCTGAAGTTTTGTCAGTTGCTTTGTGTTCTTGTATGGCCTGAATGTCTGGTGACCTTTGCTAATAAGGTATTATAATTCTAATATCTTCCCCAGAAACATAAATTTTCCAGGCTACAGGTAAATTAATCTGGGTATTCCAGTGCTGCAATAGGTCATGACTCCACAAATTCACTGTAATATTAGCTATATATGACCTCAGCCTCCCTGTCTATCCTTCTGACCCTATGCATTAGACCCATCTCATGCTTTCTTTCACTTGAGATAGGGTTCTAATTCGTAGAAAATGAACATCTGCCTCTCGAAGAT